CGATTTTCACATTCGATAGTGGGACATGGTAGCGACGAGATGTACGAGCATTTTTTTCTTAAGAGCTGCATACTGATTTAAGAAATTTTTTATAGAAGCAAATTTATTTTCCATTTATTGTGCGTAATTTAATATGAATTTTTAGTTTTTCTTGAGAGCCTTTACAAATAAAAAAAATTTCGGAATTGTATGTACATACGTACATACATACGCAGCCATGTAACTTGATTTCAAGAGAAACGAATTTTCATTGGGCACGCTCAGAAGGCGCAACAGCTCAGTAACTGGTGCGTTGCACCTTCTGAACGCGTTGTTGTGTACTTCTGATCAACTGAATAGTTGCGTGTTAAATAATCTTAATATTTTACTGATCATTTGAGATAACATGTTGGTGAGTACCTTTGAGAGTTGAATTTGACAGCTAATGTATCAAGTCGTTCAGAAGACGCATAACGATTACTGATTTTTTTAGCAACGGTTGCGCTCAACTGCTGCGCCTTCTGAACCTACCCATTGATAGCTTTTTTATACCCGAGTGCATTTGTGCACAAGGGTATTTTAACTTTGTTCACATAACGGTTGTTTGTAACGAAATCGAATCGAGATAGATATAGACAAATTAATACATAAATGCTCAGAATGAATATAGAAGTCGATTAAGCCATGTCTGTCTGTCCGTAATTTTCAGAAATACGAAAACTACGATATTTTAGCAACTACTGAAGATGAATCACTGAAAATTGATATTTACAATAAATTTTAGAAGAAAAATAAGAATATTATAAATTTTTGGAAAATGGGCTTAGCCACGCCCACTTATGAATACATGTGTATATCACATGTGGCACAGTTGTTGGCCTTGGTACAGCATACCAAATGGCCGGAAAGTTTTTAAATCGGACAATAACCACGCCCACATCCCATATGTATAACGATAATTTAAAGAAATATAAAATCTTCGATAAATCAGTAAAATATTAAAGCTTATTTATTCCAAATGATGCCTGCAACAATTATCTACCAAGAAATACTTTAATGATAAGATTTTGGAAAATGGGCGTGGCACCGCCCACTTATGATCACATATATGTATCTCGGTAACCGTTCTACCAATTTGTACCAAACTCGGTGTGGTTATTGTGCTTACCACATAAAAGCAAAATGTTGAAAAATATTGAAATCGGACTAAAATTACGGCCGCTTTTCATATAACGGTAAATTTTGGAAATGCTTGAAACTTCAATATTTCGAAATTTAAGGACGCTAATTTATTAAAAATTGATACACCCCGGCTAACCATGTAGCGGTAGCTTTCAGAAAGGTGAAAAACATATATTTAATATTTGCGCCGGGTATTTATTGTTCGGCTCCGCCCGAACTTAGACTTTCTTACTTGTTTTTTGATAACACTGTGCGTAAGCTCAAATCGGTATTGAGTAAAACCAAATGCAAGAGATAGTTTTTGAATTTCATTGAGTTTTTTTAAATAAATACTATAATTAGAGGTGTATGAATGGCGAAAGAAAACCTTTATCCGATTTTTTTAATCGAAACTACA